TACTGGGGAGTGGAGAGACCGAGAGCATATGCCGCCACAGTTCCGGAATACGCTCCGCCTCCTCTGCAGTGCAAGTGTGCTGTATATGTAAGCGGTTTAGCAGGCGGCGCCTGGGAGCCGTCTCCACGAGCCGCGTATATTGATTCATAAAGTGGGCCTCCCGCAACTCCTGGTAGGAGTTGAGCACACCTAACGCCCTCAGTTTGGCGTTGGAAGTGGCCACCTGGAAATCCAGAGCTCGTTTAGTAGCCTTACGAATGATGGCATCTATTCTTTCGTCTTCTTGCTTGTTAGTGCGAAGGTATGGAACGGCGTAGAGGATCCGGCTAGTCACGAAGGCATGGGCGAGCCGAAGCGCGTCCCTGCCCCGCAGACCACCCCGCTTGTTGGAAACGCGGTGGATCATGCGCCCTACCTGTTCGCCTATTCTCTTGAGTTTCGCTATAGTGGAGTCCGGTCTGAGTTTGTGGTGAATGAACATGCCCAGAATCCGGAGCTCCTCCACCTCTGTGATGGGAACCCCAGACAGGGAGATGTGTATGGCTGACTTATCTCTTGGCTTCGCTGTAACGTGCAGAAGCTCTGATTTCTTTGGAGCACATTGGAGTCCACAATCGTTGGCATAGGCCTCGACTATGGATGCGGCCAGCTTAAGGCGTTCCTGCATTTCACCAAGGCTCCCTTCAGTGGTCCAGATTGTAATATCGTCGGCATATACTGCTTGTTGTGTGCCTTTCACCCTGGCCAATTCGTTTGGAAGGCGCATCATAGCAATGTTGAAAAGGAGTGGTGATAACACTGCTCCCTGTGGGGTTGGGCAGCGTGCTCGTTAGCCGGATGTGTGCCGCTGCAGTTAATGCAGCGAGGGCGCTCTCCAGGGCACGGTGCTTTCGCGTGGCTGCCTCCACAGCGGAGGCAGCGTTGGTGCTGCCATGGCGTGGCCGAAGAGACCGCAGTGGGCACACTGAAGGGGCCATGGCTGTCAAGGGCGGACCAGCCTCTCAAGTTTAAAGAAAACCACCAACAGCGGTATCGTGGTGCCCTGAAATGTAAGCGTGAGGCACCTGCCTAGTCGGATGTAAGAGATGACCGGGACAGCTGAGTCGAGGTTGGCCCAGATTTCGTTCATGTCGAGGGCTGCGTCGACGCCGTACACGGTGCCCACGCCGCTGTTTTCCACGATGAGTTTTCCCCTCACGTGGATTTTGCAGATCCGGCTGACATGGAGCAGAGACGCGGGAACCGCGAGAGGATGGCTATCCACTGCGACCTCGTATCGCCGAAAATTGACGTGCACGCGCCTAGTGGCCGAGAAGCCGGACAGGAATGCCCCAATGGCTTCACGGGGCGTACCGAGGTAGTTGAACTTCTTGCCAACTGGGCGGTATAGGATGGTGCCACCTCGCTCTCCCACTGCTGCAGGAGGAGCCGGGGGCTGCGTCACGGTTTCCGATTGTGCGTCGGCGTCCGTTTCTTCTGTAAAACAAATGGGAGAGTTGAATCGGAAGGGGGAGCGCCAGTGTCCTCCCATGTTGTTTCCTGGCTCTGTGAGAACGACGACAAAGGTGTCCGATGTTCCCATGAGGAACTAAAGGGGGATGATTTAGCCGTCTCCGGGTGTTCCGCTCAAGTTGGCGCCTCTTTGATGGAGCGCTCTTCTCGCGCACCCGAAGGCGAGCTTTGCGCAGTTGCGGCCGAGGGCCATGGCCGTGTGTCATGAAGCGTCGGTGTAGGATAAGCATCCTGGAGCTTCTGCTGCTTTTAGTGGATGTCAGACTTCGGGTTTTTGTTGGCCCCGAGCCCGGTAGCGAAATACCGGTAGGGCAGGTCCATGACTGGGGGTAGCCCTTAGAAGGTGTGTGCGCACAAATGTGTGAAGCGGGCATCAAAAGCCAACGCATGAGAGGAGAGAAAAAACATGCGACGGTCCCGGTTGAAAGCTCAACTCGCCAAAAAACGGCTCAGCACCTTGAGGGGGGGAAGAGCCTAGAAGTAGATAGGAGGAGAAGGGTTGGAGGAACGTGACGGCCAAAGCTGGCAGAGCAGAAAGCGGATACGGGTCGTTGGCAGGACAGTTGGAGTCGTAAGACCAGGAAGCGTAGGGCTGCAGGGGACATCAAGTGGCCCTACAGCCGTGGAATCCAAGTATGACTGGATGCTTTTGAAGGCTGGTCCCTGGCAGATTGCCGGGAAAAGCATGTCGTCCTGGTTGCGTGTCGGTAAGCCGAGAGTGCGGTATGCCAGTAGGAGTGAGCTTCGCTGCTGGGTGTGCGTTGGGCGCACAAGCAGCAGGTCTTCCAAGGTCCCGACCTCACCGCAGGTGGAACAGTCCGCCATAGCTGCAAGCCCGAGTCGGTGCCAGCGAGCTGCTGCCTTATAGCATCCTATGCGTAGTCGCAGGAAGAGGCCACGTTGCTGCCTCGTGAGGCCTCGCTCTGGTAGTGGTGGAATAAGCCACCCCTGAGCCAACCTTGCGTCTGGATGGCAGGCCCGGAGGTGTCGTCGCAGTAGGTGTCTGGAGAAGACACCCGTCATGGCGGCTGTGTTGAGGGGAGGGTTTGTGTGATGGGCGCCCTTAGCCATGGTGTCGGCCTCCTCATTCCCAGGAATGCCCACGTGTGCCGGTAGCCAGTGTGAAGAGACCTGGCCGCCTGCGTCCTGGATAGCTGTCGGCCTTGTTGCCAGGAGGACGCTTCCCATGGCAGCCTTCTCCGGGCATTGCACAGACAGCAGCGCCGACTTGTAGTCGCAGAAGATGACCACAGGACTCCTCAGGAGGTCCTCCAATAGAACGTCAACTGCTAGGTGGAGCCCTGCAAATACAGCAGCGGTGGAGCTGGCATGTGGTGGCATCCGATAGTTCCTGTTTTTCTGCAGGGCGGGGATGGTACAGGCTGCTGTGGAGGAGCCACTCACAGGGTTCACAGAGCCATCCACGTAGACATGTAGGTGGTTGGCATGTCGTTCCTTCAGCTAGGCGGCCACCGTCTGCCGCAGTGTGCAGGTGGGAGAGTGGCGTTCGGAGACGCCCTGCAGTTCCGTGATGACAGGAACTGTTGTCATGTGTAGCAGGTTGGAATGCACCGGCTCCCTCGGCTGTCACTCACTCTCTCTCTCTCTCTCTCTTTGGCGCAGCAGCGGCGGCCTCCTTTCCACTCTCTCGTAGAGGGGTAACCTCAAGAGGGCGAGAGAGAGGTGTCACATGACGTATGGCCAACCGAATCGCACCAAATGCTCCCCTCTCTCTTCATCTCTCGTCTCTGCTTCTCTCCACTCGCTAAATGATAGCGGAGCCCCCGTCTTTTGCATTTGACGCCGACCATTTGTCAAAATAGATGAAGAGATGGTCGTCAAAATGATGGCTCGTTTTTACAGTGTTGTCGTTCTCTATGCTCGCGTTGATTTTGCACATACATTACGAGTACACAAAATAAATCATCGATATTATCAGGGCATAACACTTTGTAGATCGACCTACACTTACGTATAGGGTGTCTGCGTGCGCTTTATTCTCGTACCGAACTCAGTCTGTCTCACATATGTGACAAGAGAAATATCTATTAAGGAAGTCGCCATATTTATCTTTAGAAGTAAAAACCATGGGTGTTGACAGTGGGGTCATACATGACGTTCACCCGAAGATTCATTAGTGATTACACACACACACACACACAGAAAGAGAGAGAGAGAGAGATTGATATGTGAGGTCTAACGTCCCAAAACCACCATATGTTTATGAGAGACGCCATAGTGGAAGTTTCCGGAAATTTCGACCACCTGGCGTTCTTTACGAGCACCCAAATCTTATCACACGGGCCTACAGCATTACCGCCTCTATCGGAAATGCAGCCGCCACAGCCGAGATTCGATCCCGTGACCTGCGGGTCAGCAGCCGAGTACCTTAGCCACGAGACCACCACGATGGGGCAGAGAGAGAGAGACAAACACGTCTCTCTCTCTCTCTCTCTCTCTCTCTCTCTGTGTGTGTGTGTGTGTGTGTGTGTGTGTGTGTGTGTGTGTCCATTACTTTTGAAAAATTACAGAAAAGAGGGATGTGCGTGCTATCTGCGGCATTCCCTTTACTGTGGCAGCTACAAAGCATCTTCAGATGATTACAAACATTATTACAGCAGTAATAATAAAAATAACACAATTCACTTCGTTAAGCAATGGAAATAGGCGGTTGAGCCAAATAGGTCAATACGAGTTCTTTCATCGCATAGTCCATAGCCACTCCGATATTTCTGAAAGGCACGCCTAATCACCGCGGAGCGATGAAATTTGGCTAATTTAGCTGGCGAAGTAGCAACCGACGCATCCAACAGTCCATCTACCCTTCGCTTCGAAAACACCCTCAGTGACGACACTGTTTTCCTAACCGTTATTTTATGTCAATGTATAGACTTCGTGGCGGGACAGCGATTTCCTGCCTCAGGGCCATTTATTGACGCTCGCTTATCCTTCTCCTCCGATACGAGGGAAAGTGTCGTCCCTGAGGGTGCTTTCGAAGTGAATGGTAGATGCGCTGTTTCCTGCGTTGATTTCAGTTTCCCTGCTAAATTAGCCAGATTTCATCGCTTCGCGGTGATTACCAGTGGACGCCTTTCAGAAATTTCCAAGTGACGATGGACCTAGAAGGACTTAAATTCACACACTCGCCTGCTTCTTTTCTCTGGTTAAAAAGGTAATTGTGTTAACTTCTGTAATTGCTGCCACAATCAGTGTCTGTACGCATCTGAAGATGCTTTCAGCCACAGTAAAGAAAAAGGCGCAGGTAGCACAAATATACCTCGAGTCTTTTCTGTATTTTTTATAATAGTGGACACATTTCTTGAAGCACCATGTAACTTGTGTCAGGTTGGCGTGTGTTCAGATATTTCATAATAAAATTAATTTTGTACTAAAAAACCCAACACATCGGGGTCAGAAAGTACATTACTTTGTTTTGTAGGCTTACTGAAATTCTAACTGCAAGTTTTTTGTCTCTTTGGAATATTCAGAAGATGACAGGGACGTGCGGAATGTGGAAGTGTCTAGAAGGGATAAAAAACACCAGGACCCTGTTGTAATCTTCGAGCTACCACACAACCGAAAGTCCAACGGACGCCTAATGTCCAAGGTAGTTGCACAAAAGTTCAAGGCCCAGTGAACACGCCCCGGCAATGGCCCCGTCGTCATAATCAAAGTTTTATTAAAATCTGTTACGCAAGCCAAAACAAATTTTGGTGAGCATTGCGATCAGGCTTATTACTTCATTTTGTTCATTTTCTCTTGCGCAAGTGTTGCCGACGCATTGTGAGTCTCTCACAGTTCTGCAAGAGCACCTCTGATAAGTATGAGTTTTGTGTGTTTCTGTATCTGTATGAAAGGTACCCGTCTTCTAAACAGCTGTCACTATTACAACACTTGCAAAAGTGGTATTGGGAACAATACCACCTCTTGTTTCGTATGATTGCGTAAGCAAGTAATGAAATAAAATTGACCTTTTATACCGGAGATGTGCAAATGACTTCAAAAATCATGGTTATAGGTTATATTCACATGACCTTAAGTTGGCGGAAGCGATAGCGGGAAGTACGCTGGCTGTGCTGGCAACCATGTGACCACCATTTTGCAGGGGATCGGTTCCGACCATGGAGATTCCGACTGGTGCCTTCCTGAATCCTTGTCCATCCAATGCCTACAAGCTGTGTTTGCTGCTAATTTCTCTTTTTAAAATTTTTTGGCTCAAAAAATATTACATTTACTGGTTATCAAGCTGCTGCAGCCGTCGGCAATGAGTGCTCGGCTATACGCCATGAAATAGGACGCTGACGTGAAAGAGCGATACACAGACAAAATGGCTTTCTGCGGTGGCGTTTACCCACTCATTCTTACGAGCAAGGAAGCCACATTTGGCGTAGCACTCGTACACCGAAGTTGGAACCTTCAGAAATAAAGCGCTATACTCGAGGCACCCTTTAAGCTTTATGGTGCATGAATAACTGCAGGCTAATTGAATAAAAAGACGAAGACGCTGACTACAAGCGCAAAAAAATGTAATAACACGTATCAACACCCAGAATGGGAGCATTGTTGACAGTCTGACTCACTCCTGGCCAATACTAATGTAGGCAAATATATCTTTTGGAATCGCACAATTACTTAGCCAATTGGTTTATCTAGGGTCCTTCAATTGTTGAAAAGTCACAGCAACTGTATCGCTTTGGGCGCAAACGTAGCATATTTTTTTACTGATGAACTTATATTTTTATGTAAGCGAAAAAGGTGAATTTACCCATCAATGTGGCAGTGTTGTGCGATTTTCTACAAACCAGGCTGAAATGGGGCAAACAGCTATGGATAGCTCCGCACACTGACACATAAGTGCTCACTCGCACCTATATGAACTTTCTGAGTGCGAGTATATAGACATGGCATTCAGCCATGACCTCACGCAGGTCATCACTGACAGTACACGTGAAACAAGGTATCCGCATTCGATACTGGATATAGTTTTTATTGACGGGCGAATCGACACATACAACGTTGCAATTGAACATGGATTGTCGGACCACAAATTTGTTTCAGTTGAGATAAGCATTGATGGTGCCTTGCCATGCAAAAAAGAAAGCTTCAGGCATGTGCGCAACTTCAACAAGGCCGATGATACAAGCATATTGATTACTGGTCGTTTTCTTTGGATGCGTTCAGTGAAGAAAGTGACGTCAATAAGATGTGGATAAGGTTTAAAGAAATTGTCACGCTATGTATCAACAAATTTGTGCCCTTGCAAAAAAAGAAACAAAATAAACAGAATCCTTGGATGAATAGGTAGATAATACATTTGAAGCACGCCATTAACCGCCAGAGGCAAAAAGTAAACAAAGATCAATCCAAGATACGCAATTTATCAAGGCTTCTGCGTGCTGAACTGAAAGAATCAAAAACAAAGTATTACGAAGAAATATTGCCGACATTTATGAAATCTTCCCCCCATCATTTTTGGCGTCACTTATCTCAGAAGGAAAACCACTCAAGACGCGTGCATTCTCTTGTTGCCAATGATGAATTGGTGACAGACTGCTCTTCCATCGCTTACCTACACAACAGACTTTTCCAGTCAGTGTTTACTGCTTGTCCTGATAATGGTGATGCATCCACGCCACTTCCTTCTCGGTTGTCAGTTATGCCTGACGTTCAGATCACTTATGAAGGCATTGTATCATTATTACTGAACATGAACGTGAAAAAGTCGATCGGACCAGATGGCATACCAAATGATTTACTGCGAAGGTATGCGGAATGGGTTGCGCACTATTTATACATAATATATAATGCCTCAATAGAGCAAAAGCGTGTCCCAGACGACTGGCTTGCGGTGAAGGTCGTGCCAACGCATAAGGGTGGAGACCAACAAAAGGTGGAAAATTACCGTCTAATTTCCCTCACCTGTGTATGCTGCAAGCTTTTAGAGCATATTATATCCAAAGCTATGTATACGTATCTTGAGGGCACAAAAACATTTTTTCCTAATCAGCATGGTTTTCGGCAGAATTTATCCACTGCAACCCAATTAATAGAAACAGTCGATGACTTCACGCGTGCCTTAAATAATAGTGTTCAGATTGACGCAATATGTCTCGACTTCTCCAAAGCCTTTGACAAGGTTCCCCACAGGAAGTTAATTAATAAGTTAGCACACATAGGCATAAATTATAACATAATAGAGTGGATAAGTGCGTACCTGACAGGCAGAACACAATATGTAGAAATAAACGGCTTCAAATCTGAGTTATTAGGCGTTACGTCAGGTGTACCGCAAGGTTCAGTTTTAGGACCGATATTATTCTTAACTTACATAAATGACATTTCATGCGGCATAGATAGAAGTACTACAGTGCGACTTTTTGCAGACGACTGCCTAATTTATAAAGAAATACACAGTGAAGCTGACCAAAAAACGCGTAATGATAATCTTGATGCTGTCAGTAATTGGTGCACTGAATCTGAAATGGAAATAAATCAAATTAAAACAGTTGCTTTGCGCGTCACAAACAAAAGTAAGCGCGTCTTCCATTCCAATTACAATCTATTCTACCCGCCTGTCTACCGTCAATGAAATAAAATATTTAGGTGTAACAATATTCTAAATTGGAGGACCCATTTGGAAAACATTTGTGCAGTGGCGGAGAGAAAACTATGGTACTTACGAATAAAATTAAGACTTGCTATGACTCCCGTTAAGCTACCAGCATATCTTACGTGTATTCGGCCAACATTGGAATATGCTAGCATTGTGTGGGATCCCTCGGAAATCGGCCTCATTAATATGCTAGAAAGAATACAAAGGCGAGCTGCCAGGTTTATTCTTTCAAAGTACTCCTCGACTGAGTCAGTATCAGAAATGCTACGCTCTCTTCAACTGCCCACTTTAGCCGAACGACGGCGATTGGCAAGGATGAAGTTCTTGTTTTTATTGTCAAAAAAATAAATTAAACATAAACTCAACAAAATACTTAACGCCACGCCGCGGAAAAAACCTAAGAAGTGTAAACGATTACACATACTAAGTGCCACAACAGCGTCTCAATGTATATGCGAATTCATTTTTTCCCAAAACAATTCGTCAGTGGAATGCTTTGCCATTACCACTGGTTCATTGTGATTCCCTGGAAAAGTTTGAGGAAGGGCTCAAAGATATTTTTTGTAAGCATGGTCTACTATGTTAATTTATTGCAATTCATTTGTATGCTTAGTACGACTGCGCTGTTTTTCCTTCAGCCTCAATACCGATGTTTCCAATCATATGTCATGTAACATTTACAAGTTCAAGTGTTGATGTTTAAATTGCTGTATGATTTGAATGTATTGATGTTTGTCATTCTTAGTATGTCCCACCCCTGTAACAGCGGAAAGGCTAACAGTATTTGGAAAATAAATAAATAAATATATGAGTGAGCAGGGGTGGTGCTGCAAAGCGGGGGGGGGGGGGGGGGGGGTTGCACGAATGAGCTAGAGCCGCTTCTTATTCTCGCCTGCAGTGACGTAGCCAATGGAGGGCTTGAACCCCCCACCCCTAAATTTTTTGCGCAACCCCCCGCCTTCTGCCATTTACCCACCTTTTTTTTTCCTTCGCTTCACGCTGACATTATTTAGAAACTAAGCGGTGCTACTATCACAATCAAATTCCTGGGCACATTTACAGTGAATCACGTCTGCATACGAAAGAATGGGACAAACGTGTCGGGGTGTTTGTCAAGCCTTTGAAACTCTGTGAAGTTTTTGGCAGAAATTTAGGCTACAAGTGTTTTAAGTTAGCTTGGCTACGGGATTAATGCTGCAGCGGTGGTCGTACTTGTACTCACCAAAACAGATCTCGCTGGAGTCGATTACTACGACAATTTTCACTGGGCAGAGGTTCGTTTTAATTGTAAAAGCCAGACACACTTCTCAGGTCTGCTAAACAATGTTCAGGCATATTACAGTGTAATTCTTCGAACGTGTGCTGAGAAACACTCAGGCCAAAGGATAACATTTGTATTGAATCTTCACACGTTATGCAAACAACTAAACACACACAAAGACACACACGCGCGCGCGCGCGGGCGCGTGACAGAATATTCGGCTTATTTATTAAACTTCGCTTGTGTGCGAGTGTGCAATATATTGCTACACACATTTACTATGCCTTAACTGCTAAAGGCACTCCGAAGAGTTGTCTATTGAGAAGGTGCAAAACAGGCAAACGTGCAGACAAATCACAGCCTTACAAAGGCCTAATAAAATACTCATTATGTAAATATAAAGCTGCTAAATAAAAAGATGATGGTCATAAAGCTAAACCATCATAATGAGAAATGTAGTGGGGGCAGTTCTAGTAAGCAAAAGTTTTATTGTTCTGCAGCGGGGTAAACAGCGCAAGAATAAGGAACATAAAGCTGAAAAAATATACGAAGAAATAAAGATACGTATATTGATTCGCTTCATATCTGTTCGTGTCTTCACATTGACATGACTAGAAGAACACACCAAGCAATTTCTGCAAATAGCGACATAACGCACAACAAGAAATGCACAGAATTAAAAAACGTGGGTGGACATGCTATCATGTAAAATTAAGAATAATATACATAGTAACCATGTCTCTCAATAAGAAATGAAACAAACTCTGTGCAAGCAGTGTCTCTCGTACGCGGCAAAAAGACAAATAACACAGCAGAATACTGTTGATTAT